TAATAATAATAATAATAATAATAATAATAATAATATAATAATGAAACAGTGTATGTATTAAATACTTGAAAGATTCCCTCCTCTAAAATTCTGCATTAAGATTAGTTGGGGAGGACTTGCTTACTGTATAGTCTCATCTGGTCACGGCCACATGAAAATAAAACTATTGCTGCTGGTACTACTGTTTATGGTTTTGGTCTGCAGCGTGCTGACTCAACAAAGGTATTCTGGGTGATGGTGTCCCATTTACTGAATTCTCTCCTAGGAGAAGCATGGCTGGCTTTTAGTTTTAGAAGATTTACAATACTCTTACTAGGACATGTGCAGAGCTATAACTGCTTCACAACCAAATTGCCTTTAAATTAACTGCATTAATGAACTATGTTAATAGTATACCTAAATATTGCATTTTTTAAAAAATGTATCAGCAATTGGGCTTTCCCCCCTTACAATTATACATGCTTTTTATGGTGAGTTTCCTGTGTGCATTACTCTGGTCTGTTCCAGAAAAAAGAACAATATATAAATACAATTAAATAATGTCCCATCTTAATCCTTTCTCCATAAGCGCTTTGCTACTTTCTCTGCTAAGTGTACAAAAACCACATTTGGTCACAGCAATACTACTAAAAGGTTGAAACGTTGAGTTGAAAAAAATGTTTCTATCATGTGCCTAAAATCTAAAAAGACTTGGTAGGGAATAACAGCCAGCTCACCTTGGCTGATCGCAGAAACTTAGCAGGGTTGACACTGCTTAATATAGGATGGGGAACTACCTAGGTCTATTGGCTAGAGTGGGATGTAAAATTATCATCATCACTACCACCACCACCACCACCCTGGACAAAAATCAAATCATTTCCATCATTCTGCCAAGAAAAGTACATGGATGCTGGCACCAAGAGTTGACCTCATTCAAGGGCATCTTTTACCTTCAGCCATACTGAAGTTGGTACATACTTTATCTCGAGGGAGGAGCTTGTTCTATAGAGAAGTCCTCACAACCAAAAACCTTTCTTCCTGATTAGTGCTAAATGAATTTTCAGAGGATGTCACAGAACCAAGATAACCGTTACTGATGATCAGAGGAATTGGACAATTCCATATGGGAGGAGGCATGTTAATAAGATTTTTAAAATGACTGGCCATTTGAATCTATTTGCTTATGTTTTGTCAAAGGCTTTCACAGCCGGCATACGATGGCTGGTGTGGGTCTTCCGGGCTGTGTGGCCGTGTTCTGGAAGTTTTGTTTCCGAACGTTTTGCCAGCACCTGTGACCAGCATCTTCAGAGTGATTCGGATTGAAGATGCCGGTCACAGATGCTGGCGAAACGTTAGGAAACAAAACTTCCAGAACACAGCCACACAGCCCGGAAGACCCACACCAGCTATTTGCTTATGCTGAGATAATATTTAAATGTTCGCCATTCAATCTTGGGTATTTTTACCTCAGGGATTAATCTTACTTTCAAGGATCTTTTCTGTTGCTTGTGGTCCTTTCAGCCCTGTCCAGGAAAAAAGAAAAAATCAAGACATTTTGATATAGCTTGCTGAACTTTGAATTGCTTAGAATATTGTTGCTATATAATATACCATCCTCCCACTTAATGCTGATACATGACACACGGACAACATTTTAGAGGTATTTCAGAAAAGGTCTGATATTGGCATATGACTTTGTTCTGTGGGCACTTCCTCAAAAGCATTTCAAAAACAACCCCTCCAAAGCATTTCAAGGTGACCTTTGCAATCATCTTCATTCCCCCTGACCGAAGAAACCCTGGATAGAGAACCACAGAGGACTTTGAGGAAGGAATGTGGCAGTTAGCAAAACAGAATTTAAGCCCAGGAAAGGAAGCAAATGTTAGAAAGAAATTTAAACTTGATTCTCTTTGATAGAAGAGGGAGGGAGGGAAAATGCTGTCAGGCTTTCAAGATTATTTTACTATAGCCTATATCAAAAAAGTAGAGATTCAGCACATATTGTGGAGTCTGTTTCCTGACCTGGCCTACCTTGAAGGGCTGACACATTGAGAGCCCTGAGCCACTCAGTGCTCCCTCCAGCCATCTGATAGGAGACTACAAAAACTACCAGTAGAGGTCCAGGTACTTGAACTCCCACTCCTTACAGAAAGGAGAAAAATGGATAACTAGCTCCCCCTTGTGTTTTCAGTACATATTGTTTGACTTTGGTCAATCTGCAAAATATCTGAGCTGTTGATATGAGGGGAAAGTTGTCTGGTGTCAAGATAACCTTTTTTTTTTTTTTGCATATAATTTTTTTATATGCAAAATACACATGCTCTGTGTATGGCATGACATCACAGATTTGCAGCCACAAGTTGGAGCCTTTTCCAACATTTTAACTACGGTTCTAGAAATTCTATGTGTGTGTGGAGAGAGTGTGTGTTTGTAATGGCTTGTACTCAGAGGTTGGGAGATGGGTTGAGACAAGAGTTGGATGTGTGCATAAGCATAGATGGTCAAGCTAGGCACATTTTTTTTACAGGCATTGTGAAACTGACTAGGAGGATTAAGAGTGGGTTTGCCAATAAAGTTGCCTGTAAAATCTGCCAGGAAGCAAGTTCAGGTGGTAGGAAGTGGGGGGACAAAAGTTCTCACCATTGGAAAAACAGCCTCCTCTCAAGGCCAGTGAAGATCCAGCATTGAACCAAATGAAAATGGCCTCAGTTACCCTTGGAAGACAATGATCTGGGAACACACAGGCATAGCACCAATGCTGGCTTGGCTCAAATAATGTAAGTGGACAGGCCCTAAATATGCCTGGTGGAATAATGTAGCCCAGGAATAAACCATTAAGATTCAATTCCTGATATTTCCAAATATGGGTGGAAGCTAACAACCCCACCTTTTCATCTTTCAGCAAATTGGTCTATGATTACTATCTCTCCTGTGATAGCCATTTTGTAAATTGGCAGGCCTCCTCCTGTGTGGCAACCATTTTGTGAAAGGATCCAGGACCTGCTTTCAGAATTTCAAGTTTGCCTATCAGCCCCTGCCCACCCGCAGTGTCCTACTCAGTATGCCCTATCTGGGTTAGATGGAGTAATGTTTGGACTCAGTATAGAGTGGCTTCCTGAGAAGTTTGATCTGTATAACTGGCAGCCGCATTCCAAGCTCTTTGGCAGAGTCTTCTCCAGCAATACTCCCTGAGATTCCTTTTTAGGTGGGGGCTGCATCTTTTACATGAAAGAATCAGACATTGTTGTTATATATGGAGGCTTGTCTGTCTGGATCTGACATCTTCCTAAATCTCGGCTTCTCCTGTTGTGGCTTCCCAGCTGTAACATTTTCTCTAAGCACATTTATCTGACTTTATCTGGAAATAATCTGATGTGCCAAGTGGAAAAAATCAGAGACCTTTCATGGTCAGGTTACTGAAGGCTTTTCATTGAATCAGTTTTTGTTGAATCTGCATCTGTCCATTTTATGTATGAGACATTCTTAACTTTGTACTGGTTTTCAACTTTTGTAAGACTCCATGAATTTCTGTTTGGGAAAGGCAAGCTTACAAAAAGCTAATAAATAAATGCATATTTATTTAGAGCATTGAAAGATGCCTGTGCCTGTGTACAGCTTAGTGAATGGGAGGTAGTGATTTAAGGTGACATCAAGCCTGGATTGAATGAGCAGCCTCCAGGGTTAGAAAGTGGTTTCCCTAATTGCACAGCTGTGAAGTTATCCAGTAAGTCATTTAACAAGAGCTAAATTGAAAATGGCACTCTTAATTGAAACAAGAGAGCTTGTATTAAGAAGAGGCACTCTTCTTTTTATAGTATATGCAATTTTGAGAGGACATCTCCATAGGCTTGTACCAATAGGCAATAGATGGCATCACTGCTGATGGTTGTAACAATTAAGATAATTATTACTGCATTTGATGGAATTGGTGCTGTTTTCTCCCGCAAACACTGCAACGTGTTGCTGTAGTTGCCAAACCATCTGCCTCTTTCAGAGAAGACCCATCTTCATTTTGTTCCCCCTTCCCCACCTTCTTCTATTTGCAGCTCTGCTTTACGCAACCATTTTTGGGAATGTGACAACTATCTTCCAGCAAATGTATGCTAATACAAACCGATATCATGAAATGCTGAATAGCGTCCGTGACTTCCTGAAGCTCTATCAAGTACCCAAAGGCTTGAGCGAACGCGTGATGGATTACATTGTTTCTACCTGGTCAATGTCCAGGGGCATTGATACTGAAAAGGTGAGGTGCCTTGAGAAACTTACCAGGTCATAGCTTTCTCACTGCTCTTTACTAATAGCCTGTATTTTTACGGTCACCTTGAGTTCCTGTGATGTATAAAATCAATAAATAGAACAATCAGTTCATAAATACAGATCCCCAAATTCTCATGCCTGGTTTTCAAGCTCTGCTGACTTTGCATACATGCGCAAATTGAAAAATGGTACAAAATAAATAACCTAACAATTGTATTTTGTATCTGAGTTAGTAATAGTGCATATAATATTATATACCTATCTGAGCAACCCTACTGAAAGTTCATGTATCCCCTGAATCTTGAAACATTGAAATTTTATTTTACTTTGTGTGCTTTAGAATATAGAGGAAAGCTAACACGGACAACGATAAGTCTGACCTTTTTATGGTTATGCATTAATTTGCAAATATGATTCTTAATAGGTTCAAAAAATCAGTTGGAAGAAACTGTAATGATCAGTTATACAGTAACAAGCTTATTGGTCAAATGAAACAGATTTGGAGTTTTACCATAATGTTGCTATTTTATTGTGTTTGTGGCTTGTATTTATAATAAATAAATATTTTATTTAATTTCTTAAACTTCAAATATTTTCATCGTTAATTAATCTGAGAATATGGTTGACCTAAATCATTGTTTTCTTTCTGGCCTTGTAAAACTGTAATATCCGTTAATATTCTGAAGCTTCTTTAATTTATTCTTAAGTAAGAGGTGGGAAAGCCTGGGTCAAACAGGCTTTGTTTCAAAATCATTTGGCAACCCCTTGCTTAACATTTACAGTGATCAACAGAAGAGAATAAGCTTCCAATTCTAACTAGAATTAACTTTGTACAGCACTTGACTGTACAAAAGAAAGAATAAATTCTTTGGCAAATACGTGAAGGACTAATTAATATAAACATAAAGTCTCATAGAGGGTTTAACACGTTCTTTAAGGCTTGTGCCCGCACACACTTACTTTGGTCCTGTTGTCCTAGGTTTTACAGATCTGTCCTAAGGACATGCGAGCAGATATCTGTGTACATCTGAATCGAAAGGTTTTTAAAGAGCACCCAGCATTCAGGCTGGCTAGTGATGGGTGCCTGAGAGCTCTTGCAATGGAATTTCAGACTGTGCATTGTGCTCCTGGAGATCTCATTTACCATGCGGGTGAGAGCGTGGACAATCTTTGCTTTGTGGTTTCAGGATCTTTGGAGGTCATCCAAGATGATGAAGTTGTTGCAATTTTGGGTGAGTTCTACTATATTCTGTCTGTGAGTATATCTGTGTTGGGATACAAACTGGAATTCTGTTTACGGAAAGTTCATAATATGTTGGCAAAGTCTACATAGTATATACAGCAATAATCAATATTGGAATTGAAGTATAAGATAAAATGTTTGCTTGTTAGATTTTATAAGATAAAATGTCTGTTGGCCAGAATATCCTTCCATTCTAATACTCTGTTTCAGACAGCAACATTTGTTTCATGAATGATAAAGGAGTCATGGAAAGCTAAAGTAATTGACAGATTTATCTTTTTTTATGGTGGTACCGTCTTTATGAAATATTCTCCATAGAAAAACTTGCCTGGCACCTACGCTGCCATCTTTTCTGGCCTTCTACTAAGACCTTTTAGTTCTCTCAGCTATTTTAAAAACTATTGTAATATTTTTAGAACTTTATTGTTTTAGTATTAATTTTATTATTGACCTTTTTATTTACTGTTATTTCTCCCACTGCTATACTTTATTTTGTTCACTGGGATATCTTCTGTCTTGGTTTTGGTCTTGATTTGGTCTCACCCTTTTAATAACCTTTTTTAATTGATTTATACATTATTTATAGGAGAACTATTCAGTAATCTAAAAGTACAATCAATAAATAGTAAATAAATTATCTTCTAACAATTGAACAAATCCATCAACACATTTATTTATATATTTATTTATTGCAATTATTTGGATCCTGCATTTCAGGATACAAATCCTATTGTGGCAATTTTCAAGTAGGATAAACTATTATAAAGGAAAACAACAAATTATGGGAGTCTTCATAGAAGACAGGTGATGGCAAAGCTCTTATGGCGGAGTGGAGTGAGAAAAAGTTCAATTGGACTAACAATTGCAGTAAAATATTAGCACAAAACTAACAGTATTTTGCCTTATCTGTTTTCATTATAATAACAAGTGAGGATAGAAATTTTATCAAAAATTAATCATACATTAGGCAGATTAATTACGTTTTCCTTTTGTTACAGATTAGGAACTAATTTTGCTCAGAGTAGAATGTGAATGTGAAGAGCCTAAAAGAAAATATCAAATGTAGCTTTTTTCTGATGCTGGGTTTCTGAAATATTATGCATTCATGTGCCTTTGGATTTCTGCCAATGAACTTGTATAAGGCATTGGGAGAAAGACATACACATATACTCATCAAGCTATTTCCTTTCATTATGCAAAGCTCAGAAAAAGAGTAAAAAGGAGTAAATAAATGAAATTAAAAGGCAGGAAATAAGAGAAAAGGAAATGAAATGTAGCTAAATATAGTTTATGCCAACACTGTGTGCAGTAACTCTTCATACCTTTCTCTCCATCCAAATCATCTTGCTTCCACCAAATCCATACACTGATTCATTCGTTACCTTTTGTTCTTTGTATTTCTCATCTCTCTTTGAGGATCCCTTTAACTGCATTCAACTATGTATTCTTTATCTTCCCCTTTCTCTCATCCTATTCAGTGTTCCCTCATATCTTTCTTTTGTAATTCAGTCCTTATTCATTCTCTCTATATGACCAAAACTATTCATTGTACCTTTTTTGCACTGATCATTCACTTTTATGTTCTATTAAGCAACCATATATTATTGTCCCTATTTCTTCTTGGTTTACTCCACTGAGTTGTTAAGTAACCAATCCTCACTGCATTCAGCTTTTATGTTTCTCCTGACATAGCCGAGCTTCACTCCCATGTAGTAAAATGGGCATAAACAGATCTTATATACAGCCATTGTTTCTTTTTTGCTATCCAGTGTCTTTCTATAAGCATTTGCACAACAAAGTTTCTCCATCCGTTTCCTCATTTTTAGTAAACATTTCTATCAAGGCACACAAATTCATCTGCTACTCTAAGTACCCTGAGTATTCAAATTGTTAATTTTTAATGTTTAGATGTTTTTTGATTATTGAATATTTACATAATCATGTTGTATTGCAACTGATATCATGTTGATTATTCACTGGAAATAAAAACAAACCATGATGCTGTTTTCTTTTAGTGTTAAATCCACACAATAGGATTCCTTTAAAATTCCCAATATTGTTATATAATATAGTAGAGTGGGTTGTTATTACTGTTATTAAATAAAAGAATTTGATAAAAGAGTTACCAAAACAGCCTGGTAACCACGATACACATCATTTAAAAATGTACCTCTGTTTTATCTTTAGCCAAAAAGGCAAACATTACTGAAAATACACTAAACCCAGGGAAAGTTCAGCACTCTGAAAGCAAAGCAAGGACAAAAATACGTTGGCAGATGAGGAATGAGGCTCATCCCACCTTGAGGCCATGGGAGGCTAGGTAATGCCTAGCCAGGCTCAAGCCTCTAGTTCAGGTTGGAGAAAAGTGGGGATGCAAAGGAAAGGAATTTAGCTTATCTAGATATAAATAAAAAATTGGCTTATCTGCTGTAAGTAAATCTTGCCTCAGTGCTGGCTGCCAGAAACAGTTTTTTAAAATGCTTTGTTATGTAAAAATCACAAGAAGTATGTTATATGCTGCATCTTGGATCAAACTCCATGAACTCACAAAAACCTGGGGACACCAAAAAGACGTAATTGACCCAGTCAGGTAATGTCAAGAGGGAGCTCAAAACAGACCAGTCATGCAGAGCATTAAATTAAATCTTCCCAGTTAAGTTGAGGGAACATTTAATCCCACTCAGTTGACCTGTTTTGCATATTTAGTCCTTCAGAGAGAGTGGGCACAAGTCCCTCACTACCAGAAGCTGGCCGCACAGGACACCCCTCCCAGACCCCTGTCAGTTGCTCAGCTCCACTTACACAGTCCCCCAAAGGCATCGGTTGGACCTGTACAGCAACCACAAAAGTGAAAGTCTCTGTTACACAATTAACTGACAAAATCCTGGCAAGCCAGCCCACCCACATGCACACACACACATGTGCACATGCACGGAGCTCCAGTCAGGCTGTTTGCATTTTCATGCAGGCATAATGCTGCATGGGAAGGGAGTAACGCCTAAACTGTGAAAACATTTGCCACTTTTCCACAGGCTTCCAAATGTAAGCAAACAACCTTACTTGGGAGAATTGCTTGCATCCTGGCATAGGTGATAGAGGGGTCTGGTGTCTGCCGTGCAGCTCTCTGGAGCCAGTAATTCCTGGCTGTTTGTTTTGCTATGCTAGGGACGTGCTGTCAGGTACTTGTGTCTGTCTCCTTCTCCCCTGTTGGGCTTGTTGTAACTGGGGATGTTTCTCCTTTACTCTTGGTTTCTGATCTCACAAAAGGCTTTGTTTTTCTTCTCTTGGGCCACCTTGATCACAGAGGAGAGCTGTGAGGCTTTTTAGTCTCTTTCTGTTTCCTCTGGTGGAGGGCAAAATAGATAGGTGTAATATATCCCTCCAAACCTGTGAACTGAAAGCACACTTTCCCTTAGCCTTTGGATAAACTTGATTTATAGTAAAGTTATTATGCAAGAGAACAAAATGTATTCAGTTAGCCAAGAACAATAAGCTAACCAAATGAAATATTGTTCTAGGAGGCACAGCTTCCTACTTTCAATATGGAGTTGGCTGCAGTGGCATCTATTTCATGTGAGGTGAACTGTCCTTTGTATCTTAAAAGATATATATTTACATAGATAATACAGCCTCAGAATAATTAAAATGAAGTTCTTTTCTCTGTTGCAAGGAGGATCTGTAGACATAATTCCTAACAAAAAAGGCTATTCAGTTAAAATAAAATTAGAGGAAGGATTGTACTTTTGTGAACACTGTGGGGACAGTCACACTTCCCCCCAGCTTTGGCTCAAAGGTGCCAGGCTAACAGTTTTTGATGGACATGTCTTCATACACAGCCTTCCTATCATGGCCAGTACTGATGCCATCTGACTGGGGTTTTCTGAACCAAAGATGAAGTGGTGTTTTCCATCTTTTCCTGAAAGAAGCCTTACTACTTGCACAATGTGTGGCCCCTTCCTGGTGACTCAGCTGATGACGTAGCAGGAGGTGGGATCTGCCTAGCTTCTATTGGCTGCTTTCAGCTGTTGTGCACATGCTCCCTTCCCTCTGGTCATCTGCAGTGTGTGGTGGCTGTCAGGCAAGGAAGGAGTAGTGGCTCTTCCTGAACTAGGCTGACAGGTCATGTGTCAAAAGTCACCTTGACCCTCTTCCTCGGCCCTATGTTAGGCTGAGTGATTGGCAGATGCCATAGATCCATTCTTGCAAGCCAGGACTGTCAGCATGTGAGGAGATGAAGGCTGAGGCAGCAAGTGACCTCTCGCTAGTTTTCACCACTCATGGGGAGGTGGAGCTGATGTGGTGAGTAGGCTCTGCCCTATGAACGTGGGAATGCTGTGGCAGACCAACAGGCAGACCTCCATGAACCCCACTTTGAGAACCTATAGCTTAATATATGGGAGCTGGAGTATGGATGAGCTTTGGTTTCATAATTACAGGTAGTCCTCATTTAGCTACCACAACTGGGATTGGCAACTTGGTCATTAAGTGAAGCAGTCACTAAGTGAAACCATGATGGTGCTTATGATCTTACTTCAGCTTTCTTATACTTTACAGACCTGCAAAGGTTGAAAATGTAAGGATTGGTCACAAAGTTACTTTTTCATCACTGTCGTAACTGTGAACAGTAGCTAAATGAGGCAATCACTAAACAAGGACTACCTGTAATGTCTTGCTACCTGTCTTCACATACAGTCCCCTAAAAGCCGCAGCTTGCTAAAACTTGGTTCTTGATTCTCAAATGTAATCTCTCTCTGCTGTGATTTTTTAAAATGCTTGCTGGAACTTTGTAATGAACTTTGGTAGGTGTTACTGACTCTGCTATGAGTTAATAGACTTCAGTGTCACTGAAATAGTTATTAAGTTGCTTGTGCTACATCCCAGCTGCACAGCCATGCAGACTTGCCTGGGAATAAACTGAGTGCTAAACAGATGTCAAGATGTACCAAGGGCTACCAGGACATAAGAAAAAACATGACAATTTTCTCTTAA